TTTCTTATTCATATTTTCATTTTATATTCATTTCTTATTCATAGTCTTACATATCTTCTTGATCAGATTTTCTTATACTTATTCCCTATATTTTCTTATTCTTAATCTTATTCTTATTCTTGTTTTCTAATACCAGAATGAAAATTGGAAACAATTGTTTATATTTATATCTGTTTAGTAAATGATTCTTACTGATCCGGCTTTGTGGTATAATTTGTGTATAGCAATAAGTCCGACTAAATTCAATGAGCCTGGTTTGTCTTCATTAACTTCTGTTTATACAACATTATTACGAAGCACATAATGGCATTGCTTGATTTTCCCTTTTTAAAGTCATTGTCATTATAGAAATAACTGACCTCATTTACAAAGGATATGTAACCAAACATATTAGGATGTTTGTGTTGCAAAGCATCCATATTATTGCATAAGGAATGTATGCTTTTTAAAAAAACTTAATTAAAATAAGTAATGTGAATTTGAACACCGTCGGACAATCAGCCTAATGAGCCATGTAACAAAACTTATCATCCGAATCTTGATGAATAGATCGTGCAGCAGAATCAGACCGGAAATAGGATACGAACAGTGCGGGTTCGTTAAAGATAGTGGAACGGGGAATGCTATATTTATGCTCAGAATGATATCAGAAAAAGCAATACAAATGCAAAAGGAATATGCTTTAGAGATTATGCAAAAGGAATATGCTTTAGAGATTATGCAAAAGTGCTTGATAAAGTACATCATAAAGAACTGATGGAATTGCGAAGTAACCTTGACATATGCCGAGAAGATATTACAATAACCCATTACTTATACTGGCCGCAAGTTGCCTGCATACGGATCGGAAATGAATTCAGTAAATATAAAGAAATAAAAAAAAGTGGTGTAAGACAAGAATACATCTTCTCGCCAGACTTTTCTTACCTATACAGCAAGGCCATTCTTGAGAGAACTAGAAGTCCTACCAGGATTCCTTATTGGTGGCCACAATCTTAAAAACATAAGATACGCAAGTCGCCTGCATACGGATCGGAAATGAATTCAGTAAATATAAAGAAATAAAAAAATGTGGTGTAAGACAAGGATACATCTTCTCGCCAGACTTTTCTCACCTATACAGCAAGGCCATTCTTGAGAGAACTAGAAGTCCTACCAGGATTCCTTATTGGTGGCCACAATCTTAAAAACATAAGATATGCAAATGAGAGCGTTGATAGCAGATAACTACAAGGTAACTACAAGTACTCCCACTGAAGGTAGTGAAGGAAAGCGATAAAAAGGGATTAAACAATTGCAAGAAGACTGCATGCATGGTTGTTGACAAAAAGGGACAGTCCAATACCTAAATAACAGATTGGAGATACCGGAATCAAACAGGAGCCACAACTTCTGGGAAGTGTTTTAACAGAGGACGGAAAGTGTAACACAGAAATCCAAAGGCGAACCGGGACAGCGAAAGATGCCTTCCAAAATCTAAGCAAAGTATTAAGAAAGAGAAAAATATTGTTAGAAACAAAGAAAATAGTACTGAATTGTTATGCAATTAATTGAAATCATCATCATAATCATCCTTCGACATCCCTATGCTTGGTCTAAACTCCATTAACAATCCCTTTTCCGCACTGCTCGGTACTTCATTGCTGTGATCAGATCCCTAATGATATCTTGGAAAGTCAACTTTCGCGAGAAGACACCTCCAAAAGGATACCAAAGAAGTAAGGATGAGACGACCTCCCTCTCCGCTCAGTGGCTGTGGCCGGTAAACTGCAGTCGTTTTTTGTTTGAGCTTAAGAGACATTGATCTCAGTTCTCCGTAAAAACGTGTTAAGCGTTGCGTGGAATCTCCAACTGATGCTCTGGATTTGCATATGCTCCATCCAGTCGTCTTTCAAGACGAACAGATAATGTCCAAATTTGTGATTCATACAATAGGACTAGTTCCTTCAGTGTTCGAAAGGTTTGGACTTTTAAAAAGGATGGAAGGTTCGAGCGCCAAATCTTGTGAAGTTTGTTACACGCATCCCATGCGGATGTTAAAATAATATTTCAATTTGTTTAATAATGAAGTAATTAATATTTTACTATGTCTTAAATTATTTTTTTTAAATTTGAATGAGTAAAGACTTCTTATTTTTCAGATATTTTGTCATCTAGACAAATTAATAATTAGTGGGACAAGTTAGGTTAAGGTTATTATTTGGTTTTCCTGAAAATATTACGATAAGATTTATTTATTAATAAAATATAAGTACGAGAGTGAGTCAAAAGGTAATGCGATTTGTTTTATTATATAAGAAATAAAGAACACAATCAAACATATCGTACATCAAGATGCAGCTAGACATCATAGGTTCACATCCCTACTTCTCACCAGCTTTTTCAATGGCAGTGTTCCACCTAAGAATGAGGGCGTGTAATTCAGCTTCGTAAAACTAAGATAGTTGCTGATGCAGCCAATTTCTTACAGAAGTTTTCACATCTTCACCGCCATTTGACTTCTCACCATCAGACTTCCATCCTTTGATCCAATGAAAGAGGCACTAAGGGGAAAACGTGATTTAAAAAAAAATGTTTACCTATAGTCTGATTCGCACTTCTCTCCGGTGTTTTGAACAAATGTAGAGGTTTATCTATTGTTTCTTGTTTAATATTGATCTTTCGGTTACTTCTAAAGCAAGGGTCGGCAACCTACGGCCCGCGGGCCGGATCCGGCCCGCGAAGGCATTTTGACCGGCCCGCGAGCCTGAATACCAATGTCTCTATTTTTAACATCAGAGACGAGTCTTTCGAATCAGACTATCTGCCAGTTATCTTTCATGAGACTTATTTTACCAAGTTGCGTTGCCTACGTTTAATGTCAAATAATGGATACATATTTGTTATGACCCTTGGCTACATTAAAAGATAACAGAAGCGAAAGGAACGATAAAATGAAAGAGGCCAGGGAGGGAATGACATGCAAGGTAGCAGAAATCTAAAGACAGTTAAACATACGCATTATACATACATGCCTCATGAATCTGTGGATGATACCGCATGTGTACGTACGTAAGTGTATATGTTTGCAACTATTTGTACTCGTATGTATGGGTATATGTGCTTCGTTTTTTGTTTGATGTGTGTGTGTGTGTGGTTCGTTTGTGGAACAATTTTCAATAACAGTTTCAAACCTACACATCATAATTTCATCATTTTCACTTCGGTTGATTTTTTTCATTTTGAAGTATTTTGACTTTCCTTGAGGAAAAGTAATTTTTTGTGGGGTGTTTTTTTAATTTTAGATTTTCTTTTGTTTTTTCTGATTTCCTAATGTTTATTTTCATTATGGTTTTACATATTTAGGTTGACAGGGGGTCTGCATATGTAATTTTTCTTAATTTTTTCATTAATGGCCTTCGTCCGGCCCGCCACTCGTCATTATAACACGATCCTGCCCGCGGGGTCGAATGAGTTGCCGACCTCTGGCCTAAAGTTTTCTCATTCTCTTTCACTCTCAGTAGCCCCCTTGCGTCTTAGTGGCAATATCGTCTTGCTTGGAGTGAAATGATTTAAAAAAAAAAACTCCGAATGGAACTTCCTTCTTACTAATAGAATACGAAGAAAATGGGAGATTAATTGTCCCGGTGCGCATTGCATGGCAGAGCTTAGCGGTGAAGGTCTGAATTGATGGAAGTAATGAATGTAACTGTTTATATTTCTAAGATGAGGTATTATGTACATTATTTACATTATTCGGATTATTGTCCTCATCTTTGTCGCCATATTTATTACAACGTTTCGGTCGTTGTACGCTCCAGCCTTCTTCAGGTGGTTGGAATGTCGAACAACCACACACACACACACACACAACATTACCTTTCTTTATAATTTTTAATTAAAACGCAACGTGTCCTGTAGCTTCGGAAGTCTGGCTGAGAATATGCAACTTGTAAACTCTGGTAAAATTATTAAAATTGTTGGCACATGGTCTGCTGAATATGATGGGACGTAGATCAGATCAATCGAGTTCTAAAATTTATCCTGTGTCATTCTTGCTGTATGCTTTTTTTTGCGCTCTCTTGGAGAACCGCACTGTTGCTATTAACGAGCGCAGAACAAACTTTTATGGACATGTTGCAGCTGCTGGAAGTATAAATGTGCATTTCATTGCGTTTTCAGAGCTCTAAATGAATAATATCCCACTACACACAAACACACACATACACGCCCGCACACAACTTTACCTTTCTTGTTAACCCTAGAACATTAACCATCAATTAAAGTTACACCACTACTAACCATGGGTATATCATACCCGATTTTGAAAATATCAAAAAAAAATATTAAATATAAATCTTTATTTGAAATATTTTATATTGGTACCACTTTTAAACTTTGTACTGATTTAACATTAATAGGAACTAAAAAACATTATTTAGGTAAGAAAATCTGGTACTGAAAATTGTAATTAAAAATGGGAAAATTTGCGCTGGGTACTATATACACATGGTTAGCGTTCTAGCGTTAATGCATCGGCTTTCGGTATCGGATGTGAAGATTTGTCCTTGTCAATCCTTTTGCGTATGATTAGTAGTTAGAATTGTATATTGCCATTCCCTAAAACGAAAATTACTTATGACTGAAGCTAACAGTTTCATCGGACTGAATTAAATTTTCCCAAGCGAGTCCCAAACAATTTTTGTTCATACAACATGATAATTATGACATATATACACTGAAAAAAATAGTGAAGTAAAAGCACTCCGCATATTTTTCTTCTAGGATTATATAGGTTCGACTATCGTCCAGTCCGGGGGTTTATCCCTTGTTTCCTATTTAGGATTGTGTTCCTGATTTGTTCTAAAGTTTTCCATTCTCTTTCACTCCCAGTAGCCTCTACGAACTGTTAATGAAAAAGACAGATGTAAAAAGATAAATGCATATGAAGAGAGAGAGAGAGAGAGAGAGAGAGATACGGCTTGAGGTAGATAGATAGACGTCAACACTTGATGAGCTATTTAAATAGATAGATAGATAGATAGATAGATAGATAGATAGGACGGAGAGGACATAGATAAATAGATATGATCAAATATATATATATATATATCGAGAGAGAGAAGGGGGGTGGAGACTGAAATCTGGTAGATAGCTCTTTTATTGTTCCTTGCCCTCAATAACGTTTTCTCAGTATCTTTATCTCAGAAAACACTTGCGTCTTAGAGGCTTCATGGCCATGCTTGAGGTGAAATGATTAAAAAACGTCTGAGCATAAGTAAAGATAGATAGATAGATAGATAGATAGATAGATAGATAAGAAAGTTGTTGATTACCTCAATAGATACAACCTCTTGAGCGACAAGCAGTACGGATTCCGATCTGCCCGGTCTACTGCTGATATCCTAACTGCGATTACTCACAGAATTAGTGAGGCACTTGGCAAGAAATACATCTCAAGGGTGGTTGCATTAGATATTTGAAAGGATTTTGACAAGGTATGGTATAAGGGTTTACTGTTCAAGCTCTCTACCTATAGAGTCACCGGTAGAGCATTCTCGGTTGTCAAGTCCATTCAAACGGGTAGTTCTCTAAAGATAGTTGTTAATGTCCAGTCCTCCGAAGCGATCAACGTTTGCTTCTTGGTCCAACCCGCTTCCTCTTCTACATAAATTATCTGCCTAAGAGTATAATCCAGTCATTTGAATGATGCTGTGCGTTCACCTCCAAAACCCTCGATGACCAGAGCTTGACTGCTGATCTCTTCTCTGACCGAGCTCTAACAGCACAATGGGAGAAAAACTGGCTGGTCGCATTCAATGTTCTCAGAGACCAAACTAGTGACCTTCCATTATCACTGATCTGATACAGAACTTTTACCAATCACGATGAATTGATGTTCCCTCAGGGGGTGTGCCTGTGCCTGTTGTTGGGACATTTTTTACGGTAAGGTTCATCCTTTACAAGGCTCGGGGCCACTCGAGGTAGAGGGTTACGTTAGGAGGCAATTTATGCGTATAGGAGAGGAAGATAACGGTTAACCCTAGCCTTGAACAGATTTTGGTGATCAGGAAAACGTCCTGTTAGGAGTCGGTTCCACAGGGCAGTGGTCCGCAAGATGAGGCTGCTCGAGTGGAACTTACTTCTCACCGATAGTGGGTGGTTTTCTACTATGTAAGTGGCATGGGGTGTTCTTGCCGTGAAGGTTTGCCTTGGCGGGACCAGAGAATATAGTTCGTCCGAGCACTTTCCGTAGAAGTAGCGGTAGAGCAATGAGAGGCTTGTCACATTGCGCCTGTGGGAGAGAGGTTAGAGGGTGGAGAATAATTTGTCACCCACAAGGGTTCGGAGACGCTTTTGGACTCTATCAAGAATGGAGAGTTCGGTCTGGGCAGCTCCCGCCTAAATATGACAACAGTACTCTATTTGGGACCTGATCTGGCTCGTTTAAAGGTAGAGGATAGCAGGAAGGGCCAGGCACTTACTGTAGTAGTACAGGTAGCCGACCATTTCGGGTGCGAGTTTAAAGTCCAGTAGTCTTTCAGGGCACGGTCCGTCCCCGAGCGGACATCTGTTCATCCTGTTTAATGGTATTTCAGAGTCAGATCGGCAATGATGGAACTTGGTCTTCGAGTCACACGACCTATCGCTAAAGATACTGTGAAAATATTCGGATCCCTGTACCGCCCCAGCAAGTACTTCACCCCTCCTGCTAATCTCTACCTTTGCGAAGGCCAGATCAAGCCGAAAATGGAGTACTGCTGCCATATATGGGCGCGAGCTGCAGAGTCTAGGCGTCCTTGCGGATGATGAATTGTTTTCTACTCTGCAAAAAACCCTTTTCTCACAGACGAAACGTCACAAGCCTCTCACTGCTCCATAGCTATTTCCATGGACTAACTACATTCCTTGGATCCACCAGTTCTACCCTTCACGGGGTAAGACTCGCCATGCTACGCACACTGTAGCGAACCACTCTTATTCCCTTCGTATTCCTCTGGGGAGGTGTAAGCTCCACCCGAGCGTTTCTTCCCGCAAACCGCTGCTTTGTGGAACCGACTTCGAAGAAGATGCTCCCTTGATTACTAAAATCTTGACCTGCTCAAGTTTATGGTTAACCGTTATCTTGTACACATATCCGCATAAGCTGAACTCTTACTCCGTTACCATCTACCTTGAGTGGCTTCTGGGCTTTGTACATGGTGAAATACAGTATACAAAAAAAAAAAAGGATAGATGATGAACAGATTGAGATAGATAGATAGATAGATAGATAGATAGATAGCGATAGATATGACTAGACTGAAAAATATAGATAGATAGATAGATAGATAGATGTAGATATAGCCTGAGACAGATAAATAATGATAGATAGATAGATGAAATAGATATGACTAGACTGAAAAAGATAGATAGATAGATAGATAGATAGATAATGATGATGACAGATAAATGAAGATAGATAGATAGATAGATAATTAAGATGACAGATAAATAATGAAGATAGATAGATAGATAGATAGATAGATAGATAGATAGATATATGAATAGACTGAGATAGATAGATAGATAGATAGATAGATAGATAGATAGATAGATAGATAATGAAGATGACAAATAGATAATGAAGATGACTGATAGATAGATAGATAGATAGATAGATAGATGAATAGATAGATAGATAGATAGATGTGATCAGGCTGGAACAAATAGATTTATTAAGACAAAAGCAACTGCAAAAAGGAGAGCTTTATGCTGAAATGTATTAATCACACCTCCTGTACACGAGACCATATCACAAGACACACTCAAATATTCGCAGACGCACAGTTACGGACGTACACACCGGTGGCTGAAAACTAAATGTAGACACACAGGGTTCTTTTTTTCTTTTCTTTTCTTTTTTTTTTTTATTTTTAAAACATATTTATTTTTAAAGCTTTTTTGGTCCAGGAGTATTAACATCTGTTAACACTTAAAGTCAGTCTAAGAATCTAGTAGCTTCATCTGAGTGCCACTTTTATATAAGACTCCGAAAGAAGAAGAATATCTTTCTTGGAATTCAGAATAGAAAAGAGAAGAAAAAGGCGGAGGGAATTATTTTCCCGGGGGAAGAAAACAGCAACCTCACCAACCTGATCTCCTTTTTAAAAAAAAAATACGTAACTTTATGAACAGGATATGGCCGCTTCATTTCGTTTCTTCTCTTTCTATATGCCGTGTCTCTTCAGGACATAGGCGATCATGGCTCTCCACAACTTCCTATCATTTGTCGCTCTTAGCAATGTCTTTTTACTATCTCTCCCACTTCTTGTCCTGCCATCTATTTACACAAGGTTACTCGCTGCTTCCATCTCAGCTTTTTGTCTTCGATATATCCTGTGAGTGTCAATTTTTCCAAGCTTTCTTTCCTCATTTTGGGTTACAGAAATAATTTCAACAGCCTCTTTCTGATTCTAAGTACAAGTGTCCTTTTTGTTCCCACTTTCCTTAAAACCTTTCCGTTGCTTATATGCTCGGTCAAGGGTGTTCCCAGCATCCTTCTGCAGAACCACATCAAGTTTCCTTTTCATCTGTGAGGAATTTGTCCAGCATTTGCTATCACATAGGAAGAGTGTTATTGTGTAGCAGTTAAACACTTTTCTTAGTGTCTAACGAAATTTTCATATTTCTTAATATTTTGCATAGCTTTTGGAAGTCATCTTTCACTATTCATTTTAGCATCTCGTAGCTCGCATCCTGGGCTCTTCCTCTTGCTGACAGCCATACATTCTGCCTTCTTACCTTAGATCAGTGGTTCTCAACCTTTTTTTTTGCCATGGACCCCTTTTCCTTCTTTTTTATCTTGGTGGACCCTTCATGCTATTGGACATAAGAACAATTTTCTATTCTTCACTAATATAAATTTTAAGGTTTAATTATCAAAAGAAATAGTATACGATTAAGCTTTATTTTTAAAATGAAAACTAATTTAATACAAATAAAATATTCTACTATAATAATAATTATTATTACTATTTTAATTAACACAACAATTGTGTTTTTATTTTTAATTAACCTGTGGACCCCCGGAAATATTACATGGACCTTCCATTTTTGAGAACCACTGCCTTAGATAGTCCTTTCTTCCAGCTTTCCTTTACTACTTTGTCTAAGAGACTCGGGCCCAAAATTCACATGGTTTTCAAAGGTGATATGACCTTATTTTCATTGTACGCTTCTCTCTTTTTATTGCCTCCGCACCGCTGCTATTGTGTTTTGATCGCAAGTTGGCAACCGTGCAAGCCGGACGGAACTATTTTGTCAAAGACATTTGCTCACGTTGTCTCATTCTGGAAGCAATAAAATATGTACCCTGACGTGCCAAAAGTCAAAAGGATAATATCGCCTGACACGTCGATGTGCAGCAACGACGTCACGGGTCCAAGCAAAGCGATATGTGCTACGTACGGTATTTTAGACGTTAACATGTGCTCGCTAATGAGTCTTTTGATCCCATATGTTATGCAAGCTAAAGAACACTAAATGCACCTGTTGTATAAGCGCCCTATACCTCCTGCATTGAATGTCGATGCGATTTGAGCCAGTGTTGATTGACTGTTACCACAATCAATCCTTACCAGACATAATCATAAAGGTCCCTTGATCGGCCACTGCGCTGAATATAATAGGCGGCAATATCTCCAAATAGTTATTCCTAGTATATATCGTAGACTGAGGTTGAGAAATGTCCCATCCGTCTGGTACCAGTTTCAAACTCCGTTGACTCACATCACCTAGCTTTCAGCAGCCTAGACAGTGTTCACAATAACTCACCAAATATCAATCCATTACGGATATAGGTCTAGACTTTTCCATGGCGTCAAGTGCTGGTTCATGACTTATAATATCCTTGTCGGGATCCCGAAAAGCGAGGAATGACGAAAATCTGAGTTGACCTCTGATAAGTATTGTGAACTTTCATTATATTCAATACAATATTTATTGCTCTATGCAGATATTTACAACATTATTAACAGAAATTCTGCTCGTTTTTACATACACTGATTTATATAGTTTTATGTATATTAATAGATGTCATTATTATTATTATTATTATTATTATTATTAATATATAAGGTGTTCTGAAAAATTGTCTGCCTGGTTCGGCTCCCAAAAATCTGATCAATTCAGCAAATGCCAGGATCGTAAATACCTTCTTGACTGAACCGAGAAGTTCTCAATGCATCTTCAGATATATATATATATATATATATATATATATATATATATATATATATATATTATAATGAACTCTCCGTCAGTTTCAACGTATGGGGATCTGACAGCTTATTGATTCAGTTATGAAAGTTTGTGCGATAATCTTAAGTGGCATTTAAGACTCGCTAGTGATTTACAAACATATGGAGCAAGTGTGAGGATTGTGAGATGACATCACTGTTAGATTGGCTGGCAATTTAGATCTTGCTCTCGCTTCTTGAAGATGATTCAGACAAGCAGATTGAAAATTGCTGAGTCCACTAAAACACGTTGATCTCCATTCTACCCGCTCCAAAGCTAAGGGCTCAAGAGTGTTATGTGGTATACTGACTGCTGACAAGTTGCTTTTCATATATATATATATATATATATATATATATATATATATATGAATAAAAAACAGACCACGTTAAGATTCCATGTAATAAGCTATTTCACCATAACCCCTTTAACAGGGTTCTGCATCATCAGACTTTACTTCCAAAAGCTGAAATGAAAAATGAAAAGAGCTTTTGAATTTCTTTTCATTTTCATTTCAGCCTTTGGAAGTAAAAGTCTGATGATCCAGAACCCTGTTAAAGGGTTTATGGTGGAAATAGCTTATTACATGAATCTTAACGGTCTGTCTCTTTATTCAAACATATCTGCTCTGAATTTTACATTGAGCTCTCTGGATATCATCCTCCTCCAGGTCTACCCATACGGATTACCTAAGTTTGTATAAACTATATATATATATATATATATATATATATATATATATATATATATATATATATATATATATATATATATATATATATATATATATATATATATATATATATATATATATATATATATATATATATATATATATATATATATATATTTATATATATATATATATATATATATATATATATATATATATATATATATAAACAAATCTGTTAAGAGGCCGGAAAAATAGCGTACCAAAAACGAACGTATATCAAAAGGATCAATCCAGCTGCCTTGAAAAAATTACATGCTGGACAAGTAAACATAATAAAGAGGTACAGACATTATATAACCTTGGTTTACGACTGCCAGGCCTCTTCAGGTGGAGGCAATAATATATATATATATATATATATATATATATATATATATATATATATATACGTTCATTTCTGTAGTTCACTGCCAACAGCAAGCAGAAATATTTCTCCTCCCGATGATGGCCATTTCGGTCGAAACTAGTCGAGGAATCTAAATGGAATAATAATAAAAAAAAAACGAAAGAATATTAATCTACAACCCAGTGTGTCTAATGATTTTAATTTTTTAATTTTTTTTTCTTATTGTTCAATATATATATATATATATATATATATATATATATGTGTGTGTGTGTGTGTGTGTGTGTGTGTGTGTGTGTGTGTGTGTGTGTGTGTGTGTGATATATTATGATAGAACAGGATAGGATAAAGAACAAATAAGAAACGTTTATAAATCAGACATGTTTCACTTTTATTAAAGTTCCGTCAGAGAATGAGATATGGAGAAAGAAAGAAATTCTGGTAATTTTACATTCGTGTCGTTTGATTTTCATTGGTTAAGCAGGCTTCACGTGCATTTAACTTAAATAGCGTTAGTAAAACTTATTGTGTTTTGCTTAACAAGTCAAATGTATGTGAAGCCTGCAACCAATGAAAATCAAACAACACGAATGTAAAAAATATCTGAATATCTTTCGTTCTCCAAATTTCATTCTCTAATCAAATTACTAAAAATGTAACATGTTAGATAGATAAATTATTCATATTCATTATTCATATATATATATATATATATATATATATATATATGTGTGTGTGTGTGTGTGTGTGTGTGTGTGTGTGTGTGTGTGTGTGTGTGCTAAAATATGATTTTAAAATATGGTATATTTATGGTTAAAAGTGATACATATATATATATATAAAATAAAAAAGGCTCAACCACTAATATTTCATGGTTATAATTTTTTACATTGAAATTGTAATCACGATCCAATTCATCAGACCTACAAATTCAAAAAGAAATCGCAATTTTAATTTGTAGGTCTGATGAATTGGATCGTGATTACGATTCCGATGTAATAAATTATAACCATGGAATATTAGTGTTTGGGCCTTTTTTATTATATTATTACTCTGTTCTGGACAGTTCTACCCCTGGATTCTATCCTCTTGGAAATTTATTTATATAGAATTATATATATATATATATATATATATATATATATATATATATATAGATGTGAGTAAATAACAGGACAGACTGTGTCCTATAGCCTTGGGTGACATCCTGTTTAAAAGTACAACTCCAAATTCAAAACCTGTGGAAGGTCGCTTTGGGACCTTGATGCATACTATCTACACCAGTTCTCCGTATTCGATTCTTCAAAAAACGTGTGGTTAGTTCTGCACAACCTTTGCCACTATAATCAAGTAAAAATATCCAAATGAGAGAAACAACAGGTGAAGCAAAAATTCGTAGCATTTATTAAAAAAAAAAAAAGGTCAATATAAAGTAGAGCAAAATATCATTATAATATTTTTATTATAATAAATTTCAATAAAACATTTTACATCGATGCACAATAACTTTCATGTTTCAGTACTAAGATGGTACTTTTTCAAGCGATGGTAGATAACTTGAGATAAAAAAAACATCTATTAGGAAAATTTTTTAAAAAATTTACCTCTTTTCGTAAGTTAAAGGGGTGGGAGACATAAGATCACAATTAAAAAATATACTTCTGGGTATGTCTAGGTTAACCAATGAACGTCAGGTCTACTCTAAAATATAAAAAATAAGATCAAAGAGTGGAAGTGGGTGAGTTATTTTTTGGAGCTACGCTTTCAACTTCACTTTGAGCATTTTAACTAACAAAGTTTATTTAACGTTAATTTTCCAATTAAAATTTTTACTAAAATTCTTCCCAGACCTTAACATCCTGAGTATGACGATAAACTACATCCGGCAAGAAGGCCTCTGGCTGGGAGGTTTTGAGGAGCTTGGAAACACCAATCAATTACTGTTGTTCCCAGGTCCACCCTGACCCAGGGTGGTAGCACTTGTTAGGGTTTCATGAATAGCGAAACCTCAAACTGGGATCAAAACATTACGAAAATATAAAAAATACATCCGTCAGGAATAAATTTTAATAGTAAAAAAAAAAAAAAATAACAGCAATACATTATTGAAAAATGAAGAGAAAAATTACCATCAATACATTTTTGGAAACTTTGTCTCGTCAGCTATACTCATTTGTACCGCTATAGAATAACCACCTAGCTATATACCAGTACATTAGAAGTTTTACCGTTGGGTTAACTTTCCTTCCTCTCACTAGTAACCTCCGCGTTTGGTCGGTTATATGACATTTAAAGGGCCGTCCTTGGCGCAATAATATGAACAGAGAACAGTCTTCAGGAAGACGCCGTGAAGAGAAGATTGATTTCCTGAAACGGGCTGCGTCAGTATGGCGTTTTGGACTTGTGAGCAAAAACTGTATTTGTAACCTGCACTAGCTTTACTGTTCAGGGTCAGCGAGAAGGAATGTAACACATTACTATACTTTATTAGGACGCTTTCTGTCTAGAAAATAAAACCTTAATTTACGTTCCTCCAACTTCTTCCTAAGTATCTTAATTTTTTTTATTTTAAATTATTGGTTAAATATTTGTATCAATAGCAGATACGACGGACACAACCAACATATATTTGATAAACCGCTCTTCAGGCTTCAACGGGAGATTCAAAATTAATGCAGAAAAAATGTACAATAGAGGAATTGAATTTCCCCCCAATTCCTCTATTGTACATGTTTCTGTATTAATTTTGAATCTCCACTAACCTGAAAACAACAAACTCAGTTGCTTCCCCTTGTTTCATTTTTTTTATTTTTTAATATGTCTTGTAATATTAAATTTTATACTTTTATTTCGATCATTAAATTTTGTACCTACAAAAATATCTTTAAGTATATATATATATATATATATATTTTCAAATACCTCATTTGGTAATTTTGATGGTTGATAGTAGATGCATAGAATAATACTTGATCAAAAGTGGAGATTATAAGACTACGCGTTTTGCTCCATAGAGTAGGCGTCCTCAGAATTGAATGAGATACAAATTCATGTGAGAAAAAACGTCTTGGGCTATGTTGAACAATTAATAAAGATCCTTATCAAATGTTGCGGCCAAAGAGTTGGTGCTTTTCACACAGAAGCAACAAACGTTTGCGGGATTTGGATTTTAGATATAATATTGTTGTTCCTCTTACGCTTTCGGCCAAGTCATTAGCCATTTTCAAGGGATTCATTGTTAGCATGTTTTTCTGTATTTATATTATCAGTTGTGTTGTGCAGAAGTAGTAGTAATTTAAAGACGCGGTGGATGTTAATGGTATTAATTTCATGTTGGGGATGCTTTTTGAAACAACAGGTTTTTTAACGTTTTTCAAAGAGAGCAAAACTGAGAAAACCGCTTTGTGTAAAATGCTTCAGTTATTTTTAGACGTCTTTTGCCATTAGACATATGTACCCTCAAAATGGAATTACTATTCATCAGATCCAGCATGGCTTAGAATTACTACTACTTCTACACAATACAACAAAGAACATAAAGACAGGAAAATCTATTAACGAAACCCTTGAAAATGGCTAATGAATTGGCTACAAGCGATTAGGACAATAATCACTATGGCCAGTTTTTACACCCTCTTCGTCCTTGTCCTTGTTCGCCACGCATGCACACACACACACACACACACACGCACGCGCGCATACACACACATATATATAATTATATATATATATATATGAAAATTTCTCTGATTTAACCAGTAGAGAAGACAATATTTATGAATAAAAATGACAATAGGAAAACTGGTAATTGCTGACGCGTTTCGTCCAATGTGGACTTTATCAAAGCAAAATACGAAGAAAAAAAAATTTTCGTATTTTGCTTTGATAAAGTCCATTGGATAAACGCGACAAAATTACCAATCCCAATTTTATATATATATATATAATATATATATATATATATATATATATATATATATATATATATATATATATATATAGAGAGAGAGAGAGAGAGAGAGAGAGAGAGAGGTAAAAAAAAGCAATGAGGTGTGAATGTCAAATGAAGAAAACGATGAAAAAGAACAAATTAGCACGACATTCTACACGTACACACATGCGCACAGACGGGCGCGCGCACACACATACGCTATAAAAAAATTTAAAAAAACTTGCATTAATGAGAAGTGCATATAAAGAACAGAGAAACTGAGAAGTATAAAGTATAACTTGCTGATACGCCCGGACGAGTGGATGGAGTTATTCCAGGATGGTCCGTCTACGAAACTCTGGAGTCGGTATGCTGAAGGTAACATCAATCAGCTAAGTGACAAACCTTTAACTTGTATTAATTATATAAGTGTGTGTGTGTGTGTATGTGTGTGCTTATATATAGATATATAGATATATACATACACACACACACACACACATATATATATATATATATATATATAGTTTTTTCTTTTTGAATTTTAAGTCTGATGAATTGGATCGTGATTACGATACCAATAAAATAAATTATAATCATGGATTAGCGTTTGAGTTTTTTTATATTATATTCTTGCTGTGTCTTGTACATAAAGCACTACCTGGATTTTATCTTCTTGAATTAACTCCGTCAAGCGTTTTTGTTCTGTCTAGTTAATGTAGGCATTGAGCACTTTACTGAGTAGGTAGGTGTTTGCCTTTAGTTCGTTTTTCATTTTTATTGCTGTCCTTGTTCGAGATTTTATTTTGTTTAAGGGTATTTAAGTCTTTTGGCAAGTTGGTTCCACTAACAGTTTTTTTTTCTGTAATATATATATATATCATTGAAAAATACATCCCTACCCACTACCAAAACGTAGCAATAAATAAAAAATAATATAAATTAATATATAGACATATTGAACACCCAGACACCCCTAGTCTAGCAAAATAGATTTATCTGTAAACATGTAAATCTGGAAACATGAATTATGATTTTAGCTGTGTATTTAAAACCCAGTAATTTTAAAAGTTACTCCAAAATTCGCTTGAGGATGAAATGGAACTAATGTCTTTAATTTAATTACAAAATTAAATTCGTGGCTTTTAGCTTCCATTTTTTAAACATGGTTAGAACTGTGTACTGTGTAAACATATTTTAAATCAATTAATTTATAATATATATATATATATATATATATATATATATATATATATATATATATATATAAGCAACTAGATGTCTAGCTACACTGTTGAGCTGTGATACAGCGAAACAGATCTGTATGTGGATGATCATATTAAAAGCTCTCGTCTTTTCGATCGAGCACTGTTAGGGGAAAGGAAATTCTAAAACAGTGGCTGTCACTGCTATTAACGCACTGCTTTTCCTTAATGAATTGAGCACTGTTAGCTACTGGCGTTTGTTTACATTCGTATACAATACGCTAGAATTTCCCTTCCTCTCTGCCTTTCGCCGATAGTTTAGCGGTAGGATCTCCGACTGATAACAAATCGCTAGGGTTTCGATCCCGGCTTGAAGCAACCGGATGTCTAGTCACACTGATGAGCTGTGATACAGCGAAACAAGCCTATATGTCGATGACTTTATTTATATATATATATATATTAAGAAATGGACAAAGTCCGACAATTTATTTATTAAAGACATTTTTATGTTTAACGTTCTTTTTTATAGATACAAGTATTTAAGTAAATGCTCTGTTTATAATAAACAGTATTAAATAACATTTACCGGCCTGAATGTCCGAGAAATTTTCATAGAAAAAATCCTGTCAAAGGACGAATATTTTCTATGAAAATTTCTCGAACGACGGTAAATTTATTTAATACTGTTTATTATAAACAAACATTTACTTAAATACTTGTATCTAAAAAAAAGAACGTTAAAAAAAATAATAAAATATATATACATATATATATATATATATATGTGTGTGTGTGATCACGTATTCTGCCTTTATAATATGCTATTAAGATAATTCTCTATCATCTAAATATAAATCATCTCAACAATTTAAGAGTGACTTTTTCGTTCTAGAAGCTGAACCTGAAGCCATCAAATCCTGAAGTTGGTCGCTCGCTGAACTTGGCTGACTTTATCCAGATAATCACATTCCCGGATTCAAATAATCCAGTTTATTAAACTATGTTTTTCTTTCTCCACTTTCGAACATTTGCCTGATAGATAATGTTTTTGTTTTTTTTTTCTTCTCGTGATTTTCGCTTTCGTGTCTGACATACAGTTTTTCACTGACGGTGATGAAAGTCAAGAACTCGTCAGCACGTGACCTCTGCATAACCGCAGGTAAACAGGCACATATTTGATTATCCGGGACTTCCTAAATCGAAATACAGCGTGGGGTCATTAACGAGTGTCAATTCAATATCTAACATCCGATAGGAATGGAAAAGAAAACGAATTTACAAGAAATTCAAGTGGCGAATGAAGGCCAGAAAAAGGCCCGATTCTGACTTTTACATTCTGTATCCAATTATTTGTTGAAGCTTCATTAAGCTTGTAATGAGTATCACCTTCTTCTTCTTCTTCTTCTTCTTCTTCTAAGAGCCGAGTCATTTCAGGACGAGTGCGACCATGGCTTCCCACAATTTCCGCTACGTTGTCGCTCTTAGTAAAATTTGTCTTTTTGTTCTCTCTCCTAAACCTTGCTCGGCCAATCATTTACACAAGCTAATTCTTCTCCAAGACGTAGATGATCATGGCTCTCCACAATTTCCTCTTTTTTGTAGCTCTTAGTAAATTTTGTCTTTTTGTTATCTCGGCTAAACCCTGTTTACCACCTGTTTACACAAGCACGTTTTTCTTCTATGTTCCATATCCTTTCAGGCTGTAAGCGATCATGGCTCTCCACAATTTCCAGTCCTTTGTAGTTCTTAGGAAATTTTGTCTTTTTATCTTTCCTAAACACTGTTTTGCCATCCATTTACTCAAGTTCGCCAGGGAGGTTACGCGTTGTTTTCCTCTGTCCCTCTTGCCTTCAATCTGCCCTGTGAGTATCAAATTTTTCAAGCCCCTTCTCCTCACTATGTGACCTATAAATTTCAACTGTTTCAGGTATTAAGAATAAATATCCTTTTTGTGTCCATTTTCTCTAGAACTTCAATGTTGCTGACATTTTCGGTCCATAGTATTCTCAGCATCCTTCTGTAGAACCACATTTCTGTTGCTTCAACTATTCTTCATCTGTAATGAGATTGTCCAGCAATCACTGCCATATAGGAGGAAATATTATATAACAACTCAGTACTACTAGTAGTAAAAATCTATTTTTAAACCATTTCACCCCAAGTAAGGCGATAATGCCACTGAGACGCAAGGGGTTACTGGGATTGAAAGAGAAAGAAAAGGCTTTAATGAGGAGAAAGGACAATAAAAGAACAGATTTCAGGAAGACGGAAGATGGTGATTGACGTTGCATTTAAAATTGTAAAGGTTGTGGTTGGAAGGGAAGCAAGAAATCGGAAAGGAGTTCCACAGGTGGGAAGCGATAGAAAAGAAACCATTAGAGCAGAACATACGGTTGCAACTAGCTAGCTCAACAGTAAAAGGGTGAGACCTAATTGCCAATCAAGTAGTACGCTTAAGTTCATGTGATCGAGGTAACAAAAAGGTGAGATCATTAGCCCAACTGCCATGAAAATATTTATAGAAAAGACAGTGGGAAGCTACGTTGCAGGGATGGAAAACTGACTGTAGTTGAGATGCCAGGTTAGGACCGATAACATTACAGACCCTTTTTTGGATTTTGACGAGAAGCTTGTGATATGTATCTGGAGGAGCAGACCATATATGGCAGTACTATTCAACGAACAGACGAATGGAAGATTTTTAAATGTGCAAGATGGAGAAAAATTGTTTGGCACGACCGAGAGAAACAACTTTCCTAGTAACAGACCTAGCAACTGATTCCATATAATCAGTCTATTTCATGTCAGTGGAAAAGGTGAGACCAAGATGGTGGTTAACATCAGCCATGCTGATGGAAGGCAAAATAATTCTTGCGATATAAAGAAATCTCTTTGAGAATAATGCATGTCTGCCTTTCAGCCATCCTTTCAGCCATCCTTCTCTCCGTTATATTATAGTGTTAGTATATCACAAATATACTCAGGACCGGTTCGTACTCCCCCACCCCCGGACCGCAGGAAGAGAAAAACTGTTTGGAGACCACGGTCAGTCATTTATCAACATTTGCTTTGTCTACCTACTTTTATATACGTTACAAATTAAGCTAAGCAGAACTATTAAAAGAAGAAAGATTTTTGCGGATATTGACATTATTCTAGGGTCTTTTTGTTTTTCGTTCAAATCTGTGTTTTTGTTTTGCTTATGGTAAGTCTCGAAAAAAAAACACTAAATAAAATTCACTATATATTTTTTTATCCGTAATGTTTAATATGTTAAAATTCTTCAACTTTTTAAGAAGAGAAATATCAATTAGAAAATGTTGGAAAATATTGTTGATTTATTTAAGATGGAATAATCTATTATGACATGTCTCTAATTTGTATTTAGATACATTGTATTTCTTTTCTATTTTTCTAGTTGAATTCTTCACCAATATTGTATACTAGCAGCATGGCCCGGCGTTGCCCGTGCTTGATTCAAAAATCGTACGACTCATACAGCAATCGCTATCACTTGACTTAAAATATTTTTACCCTTCCTTGCCTTTAAAGGAGTGCCCTTTGCCATGCTGATGTTGCTACATGCCTTACTTCTTGCCTATCTCACACTGCGATTTTTTTCTAAGCTCTATACTAAACATTAAATCTGTTACGAAAAAAGAACTAAACAAAATAAACACAAAACGATCAGCTTTAAAAAAGGACTCGTAACTGGAAAAACCGAATGAAAAAAGAATGTTAACATAATGCTTTTTCACACCCAACCCAGTTCTGCGGAATCAGAATCAATGTTGAGTTTAAGCAAGCGAATTGGAGTAAAGTGCCATGCAGATTTAAATTTTTCCCACTTGTGACGAATGCAGCTATCGATTTTTTTGCATGCTAGCATGCTAGTTAACATTCGTGTCAGTCAGATGTTGGCTCTCACGCTGGTCAATAGAATCTTCCTGTCTATTCATGGAAGCCAGCTATTGGCTCTCACTCTGGCCAGTACAAAATGGCCGCAAACTACATGAAAGCTGCCGTAGAAGCATGAACAATCGATTATTTCCACTATCGATGGGAGTTGGGAAATGCAAAGTCGGTCTTGGCTTTTCTGCTAACTTGGAGCATGTGCATGTAAATTTTGGTGCAAATTCGTCGAAAATTGCGGCCGTCCATTCGTTACACACACACACACACATCCTGCCTTTTATAGATAGAGATTACTATTATACATCATTGTATATCATTATTGTACATAATTACATTACAATAAAATTTCTATTTTATATGAATGCGACCTCATGAAAACTGTAGAGTTGGGGACCCCGTATCATAGATTGGAGGTGAGGATTCCAAATTTGTTTTGCAAATGCTAACTCTTGAAAAAACACTATATAAAATTCGCTATTTTTTATCCATAATGCTGTGTGTGTTAAAATTCTTCAACAAGATAAATCTCCAATGGATGTTAAAAACTGCTGCAGAAAATTGTTGATTTATTTAAGATGGAAAAATTTATTATGACATGTCTCTAATTTGTATTTCGATACATCTTATTTATTTTCAAATTTTCTAGTTGAATTCTTCACGTATATTGCATCTGATCCATTATGGTACATAATTAGGTTACAATAAAATTTATATTTTATATGAATACTAACTTTTTTTTATTTTTTATATGAATACTATCGTTTTTATATTTTTTATGTCATACAATAATTTTTTGCCTTCCATCGAGTTCTAGTAAAATGGGGGGGCCCCTTATTATAGATTGGTGGGTATGTATCATAGATTCGAGAGAGGACGACGAGGAAACCTTTGCACTTGAATATACTAATGCCTATAAAAGGGGACTGGAAACTGGAAAATAGAAGATCGTGAAAGGTGTTACATTCAAAGTTTTGAAGGACGGCAAGGAAGCTAGAAATCAAAAGGGAGTTCCACAGGCGAGAAGTGCAATAAAAGAAACTATTAGAGCAGAACATCTCCATCTAGCTAATTCAATAGTGAAACGATGAGACCTAATTGGCAATCTAGTAGCAAGCTTAAATTCACGCAGTCGAAGCACCAACCAAGTCTGGGCAAAAATATATCTTTACTGTTGTGGCCTTCAGTATCTGTCTATATTTCTGAGATGAGGTATTATGGAGACTATTTACATTATTCGGACTATTGTCCTCATCTTTGTGGCTGACCATATATGGGAAGAAAAAGGAGATCACCGCCCTCTGTGGGATCAGGTTGAAATCATAGACAAAGAACACCATTGGAAAATTCGTAAACTTAAGGAATCAGCACATATGCTAGGCCACCAAAATCTCCTGAGCCGACCAAGCCTAGAAATGATGTAATATGGGAACCAGTAATAAGAAGTGCCAGAGAAAAGCGATAATAACAACAAAAATTGCAATATAAGCTCTGGTAAAAACATGGAATGATAACAGCAAAAAATTTCAATATGAGCACTGGTAAAAAATGGTTGCTGAGACATTAGGTTTATAATACCCAGAAATTCATACACAGATGTCCTCAAGGACACATGGCACAGTGATAGGACCCAAAGCAGCGGAGAACTTGGAGAGGAGAATTAACAGGAGATAACTGATAACTGACATCCATTACGCATGGCACGTGGAACTAGAACAGTCTACCCCAGGGAATGAAATAAAGGGTTCAGTTCGATATTCCAACCATCTGAAGAAGTCCGGTGCGTACAACGGCCGAAACATTGTAATAAATATGGCGACAAAGATGAGGACAATAGTCCGAATAACGTAAATAGTGTTGTGGCCTGGTTGGGGCCAGAAATAAAGACACCAAGAGACGAACTGAGTTAAACAAATATACAGTGTAACCCGGATGTAAGAGAGTTGTCGGGACCGGAGAAGAAGTCTCTTATATCCGGGTTTCTCTTATATCCGGGTTTGGTCTATTTTATATACATTAACACAGGCTCTAATTTGGGACCGGAGAAAATCTCTCTTATATCCGGGTTTATCTTATATCCGGGTCTCTTATATCCGGGTTACGCTGTATTAACATAAACAGTAATGCAAAACGAGCAAGAATGTTCAATCCTACTGTCAGAGCTGACTGCTGGAAACTTCCCTCCTCAAAAGGCAGTACCTGCTCCTATTTATATCTGGGAGAGTCCATGCGTGCGTGG